AACGGATTAGACCAAAAGATGAATCATCATCGTTCTTTTGGGCTCTGTAATAAGAAGGAATGTTTCGAAAAAGAACTAGACATTATCAAAAAAGATCTTCAACGGAATGATTACTTCAAACTCATGGTGGAACAGACTTTGGCTGAAAGACATCAAGAGTCTCGCAAGAAAGAGAAGCTGTCACAACCAGTGCTTGTACTTCTCTACGCCAAAGGATTATCGAAAAGAATAAGAAAAATTGGGTCCAAATACAACATTAGAACCAGCTTCAAATCTGGAAATATCATTCGTAACAGCCTCACGAAAATCAGGCCATCAAAAGCGGACTGCGGTCAAGAATCACATTTACCGGATACCCGGTCATTTAAAATCCGCACAAGAAAAGTGCACAGAAAGGAGAAACCAGCGAATCGGGAATAGCAGAGCATGTTTTGATACATCAACATAACATCAAGTGATCCCAAGCAGGGATCATCCACAGGGAGAAACACAGATTTGAGAGGAAGTTCAAAGAAGCTACATATAATATGTTGTCCAACGACACATTCAGCAAAGCTAGCATAGAGATACGCTGATCGTTTCGAAGTTCAACTCAGTACACCTTGAACTTCACTGTTTAGAAACTATTCCATATGGAGAACTACGTTAATCTGGAATAAACTTTCATAAAACGTTTTTTCGAATGAATCTAATCTCCAGTGGTTCAAATCCAATGTGAATCGCTATTTTCGCACAGGCACCGCCCTTAGAGCGCCTCAAGGATTTTCCTGTAGTATTTGTGTCTTGTCATTGAAAAAATATGGAAACCTGTATTCAAACGGAAAACTCCCGCCAAACGGGGTCAACTCCCGATTAAGCGGTGAGAGGGAAGAGGCGATAGGTAAATATGCTCGTATAACCTAAAAATAGTCAGTCATCTCTCGTATGAATTAGTCCAGTTATCATCCTAAGTCGATTGTGGATACTAACAATCAAAACGTTGTGGAGTTACTTGGTTTGAAATATTTTTCAATTTTTATATTTATCTACTTTTTGATTTTTTGCTTATTTTCATTTCTATCCTTTTATATTTTTTATTCCTTTTCATTCTGTGTTCATTTTCATTTTGTATCTTGATTACTTCATTCGGTTTTTTGTATTGTTATTTCACGTTTTATTAATTGATATAATTGATATCCTACAAGCAACCTCCTTTTGGCAATTCCATAATGAAATATAATTTTCCATTTGTACGGACTCCTTGAGCTCACTACATGCACTAGAAAACCTATTGAATAAAGATCCATTAGTACAAACCATATTGGCATCCATACATTGGATGGATAGAAATGAAAAATATTGAATTTGCATGGACTCCTAGTCACCAAGGAATCTCGGATAATGAACTAGCATAGCAGGCAGGTAAATGTGCTACAAAAATTCCTGATGTCTGTAATATTCCTATTGGACTGGAAGGCGTGAAAAAATTGTTTGAACAACAAATTATGTGTTCATGACAAACTGAATGAAAGAGAAGAGATACAAAATTGAAAGAGGTGAAGTCAAAAATTACATCCTGGAGCCATTCTATTTCACAAACACAAAAGAACAAACTGTGATCGCACGCTTGAGAATATGTCATACCAACCTAACAAACATATTCATGCTCTCAGAAGAAAAAAACAACCAATATGCCAACAATGTAGACAGAGGCTAACAGTGAAACATGGATTGATAAACTGTGTCCAATATGATGAAAATAGACAACGATTTGAATTATCAAATTCTCTGAAGGTATGTCTGAAAGCTATAGAGCTGTACTCAAAAATTCAGACAAGAAAACAAATGATAGATAAACTAATAGTAGAAGGTCAATGACCTCCTATTCGATGCCTTCGAAAAAAATTGTATTTCAGATATTTATCTTAATTTCATTTGTTCTTTCATGGATTTTGAATCATAGTGGAATCATATTAGATGATGGTTGTCCGAACTCATGAAACTGAATGGTTCAAAGGAGAATATCATTGAATTCTTTTCAGATAGCTACGAAAACAAGTCATGAACAATGTTGATTTATATAACTTCAAGAAACAATAGTGAACATCATAGGACACTTGACACACTAAGGATAATCCACCAATAATATCGTTCATTTTTTGGAAAAGAGAGACTTGGGCGTGACTCACAGAACAAATAATGATTCAAGGGTGACGCTTTCAGGAGATGACAAAAACTGTTAGTTATAGTTCTGGTTTTTGGTTTACACACGTTTACGCTCAAATAATGATTCACCGAAACCAGTCCTGCACGGCTGAATCTAAGGCATCGTCAGGTGTAGCTGACGTGCAAAAACCCTCAAACAATTTGATGAACTCAAAAACAGTTAATTAGCTATTTTCTGGCAGACTGATAAAGGCACGTACTGAAGTACTCAATATCAGGGCCGGACTCCCAATTTCATTTGTTCTTCCATGGATTTTGAATCATAGCGGAATCATATTAGATGATGGTTGTCCGAACTTATGAAACTAAATGGTTCAAAGGTGGATATCATTGAATTCTTTTCAGATAGCTACGAAAACTAGTCATGAACAATATTCATTTATAACTTCAAGAAACAATAGTGAGCATCATAGGACACTGACACACTAAGGATAATCCACCAATAATATCACACATTTTTTGGAGAAGAAAGACTTGGGCATGGCTCACAGAACAAATAATGATTCAAGGGTGAAACAATTCCAAAGCAAGCACTTTCCTTAATACCAGAACTGCAATATACTACAATCAAATTGACGCCTTCAGAAGATGACAAAAACTGTTAGTTATAGTTCTGGTTTTTGGTTTGCACACGTTTACGCTCAAATAATGATTCACCGAAACCAGTCCTGCACGGCTGAATCTAAGGCATCGTCAGGTGTAGCTGACGTGCAAAAACCCTCATATGGAAAGGTTGCNAATATAGGTATCAAATGACCGAACTTGACTAGTATAATTGTAGTACACTTTGGAAAAGATACAAATTCCAAATGGCCATAACTAAAAAATGGCGAATTACATATTATCTTGTGATACTAAGGCACTGAATGAACTAAATAGAATGAGAAGAATTGAGTAATTAAAATAAAAACTAAAAATGTGAAAATGAAATAAGTATAAAAGATGTTTATGTTAAACGGTTTTATTGAAAAAAAAGTAATTATGATGTAGATAATGTACTAAAAACTAAAAAATATATAGAAATGCTGTTCATTTTTTAGATTTGTTGATACATACTGAATCAACTACAATATGTTCTTATCGTCATAATGGGACATTTGACGCACTTAAGCAATAATTTCAACGATTTTGTTTGAAAATGTACTGTTTATCTTCCTTATCTATGATACAGGAATATTCCATCTTGAAAAATTCAGTGGACTACTGCGGCTCACTGATTGACGGAAATCTATAATGCACGTATTGAAAACGATTTAATCTGAAACTTCAACAGATTGAATCAAATCTGAGAGTATATAAACGCAAAGGTTGGAATACACTTATCAAATTACTCTTGATTATAATTGTGTAATATGGCGGTCTTGATAGGAAGATTTTCCCTTCTGATGACACTGAGCATTGCACATGCTGTAATCACTGACGTGAGTACTGATTGAATTTTGTGAAAAAATCATTAGTTGTAATTTTTTGGAAATGAACTGTTCACTGAACCAGTTCCTTGAATTTTGCAAAAAAAAATATCATCAACATTACTGAAGGAGAAAAACTATTTTCTGCAACATTAGAGAACACAGCTCAAATATCATAAAAAACTCATCAATTACTACATATTACATTACATATTGTCACTTGCCGAAAGAAAGTACTGAGCGCTACAACGTCTAAATTGGTAACAAATTGTCAAAAACGACTCTCCTCGATAGGAATACTTGACAGATTGTCGCTGGTCTGGATTCCTGGCCATACTGGCCTGGAAGGTAGTGAGGCTGCTGACTCCCTTTCAAAGGAGGATGCTGCAAGCAACTTCATCGGAACAGAACCTGTCAATGGCATCGCTTTAGGCTTTGCTAAACAAATATTTAACACCTGGATGATAAGAAGGTTTATGAATGCGGAATGGTTTTTCCTCCTCCTTCAAAAATGAAAGATCTTTGATGTCAGAGTGAACAAATTGGAGACCTCTTCTGATCAAACATAATCACCATCTACTTTCTGCAAATCATTTATTCCACTGTCAAAATTCACATATTTGGTGAAATCATCACGACATGGACTAGTTTCTGCTATAACTGAAGGCCTCAATGAGATCATTGATGAATCAACACAAACCTAGATGAGATGAAGAATTCACCAGCTTTCTGGATATGTCTCTTATAACCAACAATGAATTCCGCAGTCACCATGAAGTCTGCATTAGAGTTGTCCAGTCCGAAACTCATTTTACAATCGAAACCAAATGAAAATGGACACTACAAATCTCAACAGGAAAGTCTTCAAGGGCATTTCAAACTTTCTTCTGGCTAAACGTTTCTGTCAACTTTGATGATTCACCAACATGTGCTCATGGAATCACTGCATTTTTTCGAATAAGATAAATTCATAATCAATCTCAAATTTGACACTCAATTTCAAAGTTTTCATTCGAAATATATTTTGAAGCAGACCCTCTTGAACAATGAATACAACCGGAATCCAACAATATCAACTTTTCACCAGGAACGTTGATATTTAGTTTTGGGTTTGTAAACGTCTTTTCCACCATATAATATATATGCTGAAAAATTTGGCAAAAAACATANTAATAATGTGATATTTAATATGGACAGTGAAAGTTATAGGTATATATGACATTAATGCTTGAATCATGTCACTAAACCCGTTGCTAAGGCAATTCTGGGTTGCTATGTATATTTTTTGACTTGTTGAGCAAGATTTTGAAAAACGAAACATAAAAAGAGGTAATTTTTCAACGTCCAGACATTTCAAGAATAAATCTGAAGCAAATGAATTTAAACGTTCAAGCCAGTCTCAATATACCTACACACTGGGTTTAATGGACTGACGCCTATCAGAAAACAACTACTCCCCTGGCTAATACCACGAAGGGCGTTGGATTATATCCGACAGGCGTCGGAAAATTTTAAGAATAGTTTTTGATGCCTGATCATTGAGAATGTAACTTCTAAGATCAATAAATAGCACTTGAATTGACCTTCAATGACAATAAAAAAAGCTACTTTATCAACCTGTGAAGAAATATGCAAGAAATATTGTCTTTGAAAATTTCAATGAACACCCACAACTCGTGATCATACTTCCGAAACTACTCACATATTGATTCCATTTGTAGTATTTTTGAAATTATATCATACCAAAATTGAAAAAATATTGGGTATTCATTCTGAACTTGAAATTTTAGAGAATGTATGGAGTTTTCGTTTCGGAGTAGTTATTTATTTTGAGACCATTTTGTAAGGTGTTTTGTCTTATCAAAATCAAATAATTATCCATTATATCTTTGTTTCTTATGAATTACGGAGGAGATATTCAAGATAATGCAAAAATATTTATTTCTCTTCAGACATTCAGTGACGGTACCCTGGTTCAGCTTAAAGAAGGAAAAATTCGTGGTCACATTCTGAAAAGCGAAAATGGTAAAGATTATTATGCATTCCAAGAGATCCCTTACGCAGCTCCTCCTGTGGGAAAGAACAGATTTCAGGTGAGAGTTGAACATTCCATATAAAAGGAGAAAACATATTTCATAATCAATAATAATCATTTTCTCGATTTTTCATAAAAATTATTAAAATAATAATTATTTCTTTTGGAAGTGTTAGGAGTTGAAATAGTGACTACTTGATCATGTTTCTATTTCATATACAATGAAATACCAACCTAATGTAGCAATGTCTCAAGGAGCTTTACTTTATCTCAACTTATGAATGCATCTATCTTTGATGGAATTGTCATTTTTCCATATCCCATTAAAGTTACTCTTTGAGAATTCCCACGGATTTTTGAGAAACACATCATTTTTTTATTGACTAGCTTTGAGCAATTTTAACTTCCATAATCTCAATGTTTTGGACGCTAAAATTTGGCTCCGTCTTCAGAATTGGATCATACTTGAATTCACACGCATTTTTTATTTCGACGATTTACCGTGTTAGGAATCACACGTTAAAAGGTGAGACCTCGTTAGTCCTTAGCTCGCACAAGTTTCTCAACTTCTGAGAGTTGTCGTTCGTATGGGGGCGACAGCTGATTAACGGAAAAGAAGATTTCAAACAGATTTTTCTGAACAAATTCTTTCAATTTTTCAACTTCCTTTGACATCAGTCGAGAAAGTTAAGCAATAAGAAGAATTAGCGATAAAAGAAACTGCGTGTGAACTTGAAATATGTTCCAAGATCAAGGCAGATTTCAGCCTACGGAACGTTTTGATTATAGAAGGTAAAAAAACCCAGAGAAAGCCGATGAAAACCAAACATGACTTTACATCGGTATGAACCATATCTATCATATCAACAATTATGCTTCCTCTTCATTGTGATTTTTTTTAAATAGACACAACTTTAAATATGAACCTTCCTCAGTTCAAACTTTATTTCTACTCAATTTTGTGGAGTCGATACTGTTAAAAAATCTATCATTTCAGAACATTTCGCATATAATATTCATTGCAAATTCAATGAACATGTAAGTTAATGTAACGAAATTTAACCTGTTACCCAAACCGAATAAAATCTGATTTCCCTAGTGCAACAAGAAATCTAAAAAGTTCTGGATGAACCAGTTGAATCAAGCTTTTGCTAGGCATCAATTGTAATCTTGATACACTTGCAATGAATATAACGTGCTGACATCTGTTGTGCTGAGTGCAAATTGTATTTGCAATGAATTTGCTGTCTTTATCCGCTGGAAATCATTGACTTCACAAACTACAAACATATGTGGAATGGAATTCCTCAGAACATTCTTCCAAATGAATTTAATCTCTAGCGATTCGAATTCAACGTGAATTGCTACTTTTGCACAGGCACCGCTCTTAGAAGGCCTCAAGGATTTTCCTGTAGTGTTTGTGTTTTTTCTTTGAACACAAGGACATTTTTAATGATGAGAACACACTGATATTGTTTATTTTTGTCTGAATTTTCGATAGACATATAAATTTGATGGGGTTCCTTTTATTTCCTTTTCAATTTTATAAACCTTCGAACAGAACCAACGAAAATGTCTTTTTTAAAACTTTGATGTGGTCTCATGAAAAAATGACCATGACAGAATGTAGTTCGCTGGGAAAGATAGCATTTGATTTGTGAAAAAGAGTTGAATGGATTTATGAATCCAAAACCCAAGGAAATCTGATTATACAAATCATTTAAAAACCTTCACTATTTCAAATTCGACCTACATATTGAAACTGATGATTTGATAATGAAATTATATGTTTCAGCTTCCCAAGAAAGTGGAAAAGTGGCAGGGTGTACTGAATACTACGAAAAACACAAAAATTTGTTATCAGGCGGTTTCCAGATTCGGCCTCGAAATCAGCGAAGATTGTTTGTTTGTCAATGTGTACACGCCGCTGGTGAGTGACTGTCATTTATTAGAATAGATCTGAATGTATTGTTGAAATCGAGGTAATTAAATGAGTCGGCCATGGATCTACGCGAGCTTTCGCGAAAATCAGCGCGTGACAATATGTGATGAATCAATGTACAAATTCAACAAATTGGAGCATTGAAAAAATGGCAAAAACCAACANTGGATCATGAGATAATTGTAGTAACTTTCAATTACCGATTGGGGCCATTTGGTATCTACTCATAACCTGTCATTGTGTCTTTCTGTAAAATTATACTTCTAGGATTCACCACAACGGAAGATGACATTATACCGGCCAACATCGGCCTGAAAGATCAAAAGTTTGCAATTAAATGGGTGAATGAAAATATTCATTTATTTGGAGGAGATCCTGCAAAAGTTACCCTTGTAGGTGAAAGTTCAGGTTCATTATCTGTGAGTCTGCATGTATTAGCACAGAAAAATGGGGGAGAAGGTTGGTATTCCATGATCATGGATTTTCTTTCTATTCATTCAACCCAGTTCTGACTTCATTCCTAAGAATAAAAATATGGTCAACATTATATACTATTTTTCTTCAAAGAGCTTTTCCGTGGAGCTATCATGGAAAGTGGATCACCCCTTGTTGGATTCGAACAGAAAAATCCAAGAGAGGAAGCGTTCAACTGTGGACGTACTTTGGATAGAAACTTTCGATCGAATGATACTGGAGATCTACTCAAAGTTCTGCAAGAAGCCCCTGCGGCCTCTATTCTTAAGGTAATAATAAATTTTGTTTCCCCTGACTTTTCTGATAAGCAAGAAACTTCTCATTGCCAGGACACTTCTGTATGAAATACATTTGTTTCAATTTACTATATTTTATAATATATAATTGATGAAAGATCCAGCTGATGAAAATCAATTCTATGAAACTTCGTCCATAAATGTTTGATTGTTTTCCAATGGAGGGTTTTATAATCATTCTCCAACTACAACGTCTTATGAAAATATATAATTATTCTGAATCAAAGTTAATATGAGAACTTAGGCTCTTAGGTTGGAGTTATCTTCATTCTCGTAGTCATTGCTTCATCGAGAGGATATAGTTATTTCTCCCGTTTCCTATAGGTGTAGGTGAAATTTCATATTTGCACTTTTCCATATATCTATGATGATGAAATTTTTGTGTGAACTGTTTCCATGTATCTGAAACATTTCTGGAGGGATGTGTTGACACTCGTCCACGATGAAAAAGTATGTTCGTTCAAAATTCATCTCATTTCATTCTATAGGAATGTACCAAAGCAAGTGGATCAATAATAGAAAAAGAAGGTGACTTCTCCTATGCTCCTTTCCAAACCCTCCTGGAAGGAAATTTTGGAAAAGTGCCAATTTTATTGGGCTTCAACTCAGAAGAATTCATATGGGCATGTATCGGTAAGTCGACGAATCATATTACACTGTCCAATGAAGATAATTTCCGATACTGTTCAAGTTGAACTATTTTTTCAGGAAATGGTAAGAAATCCTCAAAATTTTTGAAAATTAAATTTTTTTATTCATATTTTTTTTATGTAAATGTCAACATCATTTGACGAATCTTGGGAAATCTTAACTATATTGTTTGTCAGCTCCTTTATGATCACGTTAATGTAAATTATAATTACTTATATGCACATGCAGCAAGAAAGAGATACGATAGGGGGATGATGAAGCACATGCGTAAATAATGGTCTAAATTTCATAAGTTCAGACTTCCATTATCTAATATGATTCTACTATGATTCAAAATATATGAAGGTACAAATTGAATCAGAATAAATGGCTGAAATATCAATTTGGTGTAGTAAGCAATGAAACATGGAATGAAAATACAATAAAACGAATAAAATAATTGGAATACAAAAGTAAAATGACTACAGAGTAATAAGAAATAACAAAGGATATTGATCAGACCAAGGCAGAAAAATTTACATAGCTGGATCAAGAAACAGTTCCAGTATCTAACATCAGCAATGCAAAACGAAGAACTCTGAAAGGCCTACGTAGCGATAACACCATCAAGATCCTACCTGCAGATAGGGCAAATGCTACTGTTGTGATGGATACTGATCTCTACGAAGATTTTACGGGGCCCTACTGCATCAATTAGAATGAAGTTGTACTAGAATTTAAAAATACACCGCACCACAGTAAGCTCCTTCACGTGTATAGACCATCCAAAATTCACAAAAAAGGTGTTCCGCTCAGACCGATCAGCTACTCAAAACTCTTCCAGACTTTCACTTCCAATAATTCAACTACTACACGAGAGAACTCCATCTTTTGTGACGAATTCAAGGCATTTCGTCGAATTACCAGAGTCACAGAATGAGATCAATTGATTAGTTTCGGCGTGGAATGTTCGCCTCTGTCGAAAAAGCCCTTCAAAGCATACAGGGGAAGCTATCCGAAGTCAAGAACCTGAGTGATAGACGAACTTACCTATAGAAGTAATCATGGAATATCCGAGTGGAAGACGAATTCTTTACGCAAATAGGCACTGGAATCGCGATTTTCACCAGTTAAAGCCAACATATATTTGGAGTGGTTTGAAGCTCTGGCCATTGAAGAAGCTCCGAGTCTGATTGAGATACATTGACGACACCTTCGTAGTATGGAACCATGAGAATACAAAACTGGATACCTTTCTGAAGCACATCAACAGCGTGAGACCTTATATCACCTTCATAATGAAGAAGAAAGTCCACAACGAATTGCCATTCTTAGATGTATTGGTGAAGAGGACCGGCACTAAGTGGAAAACATCTGTATAGTGAAAACCCACCGACACAGAACAATATCTGAATCACGAATTCAACCACCATCAATCTACTGAAAGAAGAATTACCAAGATTCTAGTGGATCATACTTTCGGGCTCTGTAATGGAACTAGGCATCATCAAAAAAGTCCAAGTACAACATCAGGAGCTGTTTCAGATCCAGAAGCACCAGCCGTAGCAGCTTCACGAAAACAGGCTACCAAACACGGACTGCGATTCGAAGAATTGCATTTACCAGATACCTTGTGAGTGCGACAAATTCTGTATCGGTAAATTTGGGAGGCATTGCAAGTCCGCCCTGTCCAGCACAGAAAAAACAAACAGTGTTCATCATCAAATCAGAAATAGCAGAGCATGTTTAGACTCATCAACATAGCATCAAGTGGTCCCAAGCTGAGATCATCCACAGGGAGGAACACTGGTTAAGGGTGAAATTCAAAGAAGCTGCATATATGTTTCGCACTCAGCCAAGCTAGCGTAGAGATACGCAACAAGTGGAAACTTGGGATAGGGAAAGAGGGGATAGGTGAGAGCGCTAGAATGATCTATAGATAGTCATCTTTCGGAGGAATAGTCTAGTCATCATCAGAAAACGATTGTTTCAATAGTCTCCACATATTGAGGTATGTGAATACTGGGTCCGATAATAGTGTATCTTGGGGAGGCATGATGAAACAAAAATTACATTTTCATGTATTTGTCTGACAAAGATCTTTGCTGTAGTGCGACAAGACGGTATTATTTTGAGTGGGGCTAACGTTATTTCATCAATAATTTCATCTATCAGAACATTCATTTCAACAGTGTTTTGGCTAGACACTGTGGGTACAGAATGAATTGTTGTTAAAGATAAAGTATTACCGGCGTTTAGTCAGCGGCTTGAGAGCGAAGTGTGCCATACCGATACTATGCGTTTACACTTCCTCCACTCTTACAGACTAATGAAGATTCATTGAAGTAGAGGCATGAAGTTTCAGGTCATCCATATTGAATATGGTGGCATTATGCGTCTGGGTTCCAGGTGTGTTATAGGTATTTTTCTGGGCGAAACGTATTATGAACGAATTGAGATGCTGGAGAGAACGAATCTGACGAAATCACCCTTCAATACACCTCTCCTGAAAAGGTACCCACGCTATTTGGACTCTAGTCATACCAAATGATATGGTGCAACTAATCATTCAGACGTGTATCTTACTACAAATATAATTGTTATTGATATTTTTGCAATGATGAATGATTGATTTTCATAACTTGAGTCTCAAGAAACTGACAAGTTGAAATGATTTTTCATTGGTGAATATATAATCAATGAGTATAATGGTGATTATGAGGTTTGCCGCCAATTTTTGTTCACTAATTTTCTTTAATATTATGAATTTTGTGATTCACTGCGGGTATATTACATGTATATGAGTTTATATTGTTGCAGATCCGGATGAAGATACTGTGATTGCACTTGATGAAGATCCAGGACGACTCGTGCCAACAGGTATAAATATTTCACCAGAAAATAAAACCATTGCCGGAAAACTACTCAAAGAAGTGTATACCAAAACATCTTTCGAAAACGATATAGGAGGATACTGCCGGGTAAGTTCTCGCTGGAGAATTGTTAGGCCCTTAGTTAAAAAGTGTGAATTATTTTGATGATACATTCAACATTGTGTACTTTATGCTATATAAACATAATTCTGATCCTATGACGTGCAATACATCTTTCGAAAACGATATAGGAGGATACAGTACATGTAAGAACTTAACAAAAAATAAATAATAATTGCACAAATAAACTTTCCTTCAGTTATCTTGAAGGTGCGATTTTGTTCCATCCTTTTCATGAAAGAGGACGTATGCTTTTCCACTCACAAGCAATTTTGGTGAAATTGATGAAACGTTTGAATCGTTGTATTTGTGCCACGCGCCAGTATACGGGTGTCTGCAGTATGCTGAATATTGCCCTTTGTGATTTAAAAGTGCATATAGATTATAACAACAAGTAGCCGCATTTCAGAATTTTTCTGAGAGAAAGTATTTTTTCAGTGTTGTTTCCATTTGCTTTTATTTCAATTCCATAAATTGGTTTGTTATTAACTCTCTTTTCTTTAAAAAGTTGGTTTTCAGGAAACATGTAACTTTCATCAAGTTTTTTGGAATCAGGAAGAGTACCAAAAAACGAAGCCGCATTTCCTCTTTGGATGGCTATACAAATGTTTTGAATGAGAAAAGATGTGGCTCTTGATTCGTGGGTTCCATCGGTTACCTTTTTTTCCGATATCATTGATGAAAGATGAGGCTTCAAAGCCAAAAACACCAAAAGTTTCAACAGCTATTGGGCGAAAGATATAATTATTTCCCAAATTCTGATATTTCCGTAGTTTGGAACTGTCTCCTAAAGAGGCAGCAGCACCAGCTTTCGCAGAAGTAGCAGAAATATGTCAAGTTGCTAATGGAGCTATACAAGTGAAGTCACAAACAACAGATTTACCATTTTTCATGGAACGAGTGTCATACCATCCGACCGTTTCCCGTCGTCACGACTTGTACCTATGGGTTCTAAAATCGTAGGAATTTTTGCTGAAGTTGAAGCCTTTTTGATTAGATCATCAATTGCACAATGGCGAGATAAGCGACCAGCGCTAAAACGGCAGCTCAACCCAACATTTACAGATGTGTTGAACATACAGTAGTGTACCAAGTCGAAATCTGATGGCAAGTCTGAAAGAGTCGTCATCCAATAGAGTCCCAAGTGATGCTACAGGAACAGCATTTAACCAAGCACCAGATTCTTTCACAGTTATTGCGAGAAGACGAGCCTTATTTTTCAAAGTGTCTGAAGCTGTCTTCAATAAAATAATAGTTGCTTGATCTAGTAATGGTTTATTCCATACCCTTTGGTTTTTCATGTCTTCAATTTTCATTGTTTGGCCAGTTCTAGATTCCCAAAGAGATTTGCCCCAATCAAAAACACAATGAGATATTGACATTGGATATTGTAAGATGAATTCTATCAGATTGTAAACACTGCAAAAATGAGGACAGAAATGATGGCAAGGCGAGTGAAGTGGCTGAACGAATTCCTAATCCTCCTCTAGAAAGTGGAATTGATGCCTGTAACCAAGTTTCGTCTTCCAAACGGTTATCAGTGATGAGTTTCAGATAGTTCATTGTGAACGATCGGGAGCCGACAATAAAGTTCACAATAGAGATTGAACAAGATGGTCGACTCCCTTTCCTTGATGTAATGTTGGAGAAGTCATCAGATCAATTTGATACAAATATTTATCGGAAAAATACACATACAAATAGATATCTTCACTATACCTCGAATCATATTGCGAGTGTTAAAAAAGGTATAATATATTGCCTTTACAAAAGAGCTAAAACGATATGCAATTCAACTGAAAGTCTCAATAAAGAAATATCCTTGATTTGATCTGTTTTGAAAGATAACGCTCATCCAGATTCGTTCATAAATTCAACGATAAATGCAATAGAAAATAAAGACTCATAAAAAACCAAACGAACATACAAACAGCTTCACAAATTCAACAATATCCAACTCAACAATTACCGACTCAACATCCACCGACACCTTTAAGTTGAAATTATATACAGGGTCGAAACAATTTGTTTGGCCGTAATAGGCGAGGAAAAAAATAATGTCTGACAAGATTTCAACTAAAGTACCTACCCGAAATATTCCGTGTGCCAAAAATTAAATGAGATACTTGGGAAAGAAAACATATGGAAAGGAAACATATGGAATGTTATATATACAAGGACAAAACAATTTGTTTGGCCGTAATAAGCGAGGAAAAAAATTATTTCTAAACAAGACCATCAGTAAAGTAACAGAAATATTTCGAGTGCCAAGAATTTTTGTATTTCGCAAAACTGAAGACATACAGATGAAATTATATACAGAGTCAAATCAATTTGTTTGGCCGTAATAGGCGAGGAAAAAAATAATGTCTAGAAACATGTGGAATATTATATATACAGAATCAAATCAATTTGTTTGGCCGTAATAGGCGAGGAAAAAAATAATGTCTGACAAGACTTCAACTAAAGTACCCGAAATATTCCATGTGCCAAAAATTAATGAGATACTTGGGGAAAAACATATGTAATGTTATATATACAGAGTCAAATCAATTTGTTTGGCCGTAATAGGCGAGGAAGAACATAATGTCTGACAAGACTTCAACTAAAGTACCTGAAATATTCCGTGTGCCAAAAATTATTGAGCTACATGGGAAAGGAAACATATGGAATGTTATATATACAGAGTCAAGTCAATTTGTTCGACCGTATTAGGCGAGGAAAAAAATAATGTCTGATAAGACTTCAACTGAAGTACGCGAAATATTTCGTGTGCCAAAAATTATTGAGTTACAATCAAAGACCCGTTCAGAAAAAAGCTCAGATAAAAGCCGCAGAGATCACCTCACTTCTGCGGAGACACAAGAATAAGCCAATGCATGGGGTCTTCTTCAATAACATTGGAGACCTTGGCTTATCAGGCCCCACATAAAGTTATTCA